ACGTGACCAGGATTAGGGTTGCCTGTCCAACCTCGTGGGTTTTCTCCGGGTCCTCGGTTTCCTCCCACTGCAAGCGAATTATTGAAATAAAATTAAAAAACATATGTTAGTCCCGAAATGACCAAGCATCTCTCTCTCTCTCTCTCTCTCTCTCTCTCTCTCTCTCCAAAATTTAGTGAAATATGTCCAGTGGTTCAGGGGAGCAAGTGGAAAATGTAAAAGTAAACAAACGAAAGGTATCTCATGGAGGTATCTTTATTATACCAGTCGGTACAGAAAAGTAAGATGGTGAACCCCATTTCATTTGAATTCATCTCGTGATAATAATGTTCTTATTTGATCAGTTATGTCTCTTAATGCATATTGTGGAACGACAGAAAAGACATAGGATCTTCCCCTTGGAATTTTCCATATTGTCGAACCCCTGGCCGATTCCAGCTCTCCCGTCAAAAGGCAAAACCTAGTAACTCACTTTTTTCTTATTTTGAGAAAACAAAGGAAACGTAAAGAATGAATATTAAACCCCAGCTCATCCATTGATTTGACTATTGAGTTACTATGTTTTGCTGTGGTATACTAGGCAAATGAAGGAAGTTGCTAGGTTGTGTCATGGGTGTAACTGCTTACAAAATCAAAAGATTGGAATATCTTGTACAACAACAGGAAGCACATACCCTAGTAACTACAAATTTGGTCCTAACTCAATTTTGATAAAAAAAAAGTGAGTTACTAGGTTTTGCATTTGGCGGGAGAGCTGGTGAAAAGTGGTTACTCTCTTGATCGACGACATAAAGTAGCAATGGATGATTACCTTCTGCCAGAAAAAGAAATCTGGACGCTAAATCCTTTCACTACACAAACGGCACAGCCATTACAGTGCGTATGATAAATTGAGAACTTAAATACAAACATAAAATAAAACGGATCGGAGTATAATATATGTCAAAGTATTTAATTCATTCAAATCCAACTTAAAGACATTATATTTTACAAAAAAATATTAGATGTGGTAAATCGATATTTTTGAAGCGTTTAAAAGTTCTTTTAGTTGTGATATAGTGCGATATAGTAATATATTCCTTGATGGACTCACTGGTAATGTTCACGGGAAGAGCAGCAACTACCAGTTTTAGAGCAACCAGAGAGTCTACACTTGGAAAAATTCGTTGTTTAAATGGCCTTTAGTAATTGACAAGCATATATAAATAAAAATAACTATATGGAATAACAATAATTACTTAGTGTTTACTAGGTTTCGTTGGTCATGGTATCCGTTATGTTACTCAGTGTTAATTATTGATTAGTTACTAACGTTTAAGCGCATTCATTTGAGAGGCGTACTTGATTGTAGGTTACAAGGACTCATCCACGGAAGAGAATTCATTTATTGATTGAAACACATAAAATGTCGCATATCAAATCAGTATTCGATCCTTCTTAAATACTCGAGACCAATCATGATATACCTATGATAAGAAACAGGAGACGTATAACTCGACAATGCAGTAGTTTGAAGCTTTTTTCTCCAGTCCGGTGACATTAGACAGTCTGTGGGCATCTTTCGTTTCACATGATCCTGTTTGATGTTCTGATATTTAAATTCTTGGACTGGTGTTTCTTGTTAAAATGAAGTTGTGTGTGTACATATATTAGGAAATTGCTTATATAAATGTTTATATGAAGTGTTTCAAACTTCGCAGGAATACATACAAACAACATTTAAGATTTTTTATGAACCGGTAAGTTTAAATTTCTAAGAAAAGTCTGAGCGAATTGAATTGTATTGAAAACCAGAAATAATTATATTGGTATTCAATATTGAAATTGGTGTCCTTGGTCGTTATTCTTTACTGCATAATCTTTCCGTTAATAGAAAAGGAGTCGGGGTGGAGCTTGGGTCCGGATGTTCTAACATCAACGCTTTAGATCATTCAGTCTGTCGTTGAGCCATATGGCGTGGTTTAGATGTCAGGCGTGTATGTGTCATGGAACAGGGTCACCTGCCTAACCACATGGGTTTTTTCCTGGTATTCCGGTTTCCTCCTACCTCGAACTACTCCTAGGCTCAAGCAAATATAGAAATAGAAATATTTACCAGATGTTAGTCTCGAAAGAATCTGTTTTTTGATGAGCCGAGGTTAAACCCTAGTTCTCCCCCTCTCTCTCTCTCCTAAATATAAATCGAGGATGTAATGCTTTCTGTGCACGTCGATACCGATTTTATTCGTTCTGAAAATTACTGTATCAACTTCTGCCTATTAAATTTAGTGTAAGAATATTTAAGCCCCACGTCAACTGCGTAACATCAACAACCTGAATTTTACTAATCGCTTTGAAATCTATTGAAAAAACAATCAAATAATGTATACATTTTTGTAACAATAATATATATATATATTAGTAGAGTATGAATGACAATCACATATGCCACCAAGATTATTAAAAAAGGAAACTAGGAAATTCCCAGTTGACACGAGATATTGGATTGTCTAGTAGATAAGAGGAAAACAGTTGAGATTTACAATCGTCCATTTATACTAGGTGCTGCGTAGTCATTGCGTCTTAGCAGCCGATATATGTTGTCATGCAACGCAAATAAAGCTGCAAACTTTCAGAAACTGTTTAAATTTCATTGAGTACTAACCTTACATAATTCAGAGTGACTGTGATCACTGATGCTTTAATTTGAGCTATAACTCTACAATAATAGTCTACACACTTATTCAAATAAGGGGGTCACGGTGGCTAAGTGGGTTAGACGCTGACTCGCTAGCCTGGGGGTCGGGTGTTTGATCCCTGCATTGGCCGAGAAAGTTTATCCAGATTTTCCGGCGTGGTTCCCCCTTGTCAGTGATGCAGGATGGGACGAAAAACCGAGGTCCCGTGTACACATTGGCATGCACGTAAAAGATCCCTTGACAGTTGGAATTCGATATAAGAGTAGGCCGTAGTGCCGCTGTCCGGGCAAAATTTCCCTCATGGCACACTGTATGGCGTATGCTCGTCTTCATTAGCCCAGTTCGGAGCAGAACAGTAGGACGTTAAACCCCATTTTATTTTATTATACGCCCACATTGAAATGTGGACGTATATTGCCGTCGCCCCCGTCCGTCCGTCTGTCGGTCCGGCCGTCCGTCCGTCCGTCCATCGTCCACAATTTCTTGTGAACGCTCTAACGCCAAAAGATATCATCCAATTGTTTTAAAATTGATATATGTTGTTTACATTAATGAGATGAAGAAACCTATTTAATTTCAACAATTTCCGTTTATTACGTCTAGAGTTATGGCCCTTGTTTCACTTTGTTGAACCTTGTGAACGCCCTAAAGCCAAAAGTTATCATCAGATCTTTCTGAAATTTATATGCATTATTTAGATTACTGAAACGAAGAAGCCTATTGAATTTCACCAATTTCTGTTTATGGCCCTTGTTTCACTTTATTGAACCTTGTGATTGCTCCAACGCCAAAAGTTATCATTCGATCTTTGTGAAATTTACATGCATTATTTAAACTGGTAAAACGAAGAGGCCTATTGATTTTCAGCAATTTCCATTTATTATGTCTAGAGTTATGGCCCTTGTTTCACTTTATTGAACCTTGTGAACGCTGCAACGTCAAAAGTTATCATCCGATCTTTCTGAAATTTATATGCATTATTTAGGTTAGTGAAACGAAGAAGCCTATTTTGAATTTCAGCAATTTCTGTTTATTACGTCTAGAGTTATGGTCCTTGTTTCACTTTATTGATCCTTGTGAACGCTACAACACCAAACGTTATCATCCGATCTTTGTGAAATTTATATGCATTATTTAGATTAGTGAAACGGAGAAGCCTATAGAATTTCAGCAATTTCCGTTTATTACGTCTAGAGTTATGGCCCTTGTTTCACTTTATTGATCCTTGTGAACGCTCTAACGCAAAAATACCCGATCTTTGTGAAATTTATATGCATGATTTTAATTAGTGAAACGAAAAAGCCTATTGGATTTCAGCAATTTACATTAATTACTTCTAGAGTTATTGCCCTTGTTTCACTTTGTTTAACCTTGATAATGCTCGATTGATGATAGTTATCATCCGATATGTATGAAATTTATATGCATCATTTAAATTTGTGAAACAGGTCTATTGAATATCAGCAATTTCCGTCATTAATTTCTAGAGTTATGGCGATTGTGAACGTTTGAATGACAAAATTGATCATGTGATCTGTATTAAATTTATATGCATTATTTAAATTAGTCAAATTTCAACAATTTGTGTAGATTACTTCCAGAGTTGAGACCCTTTTTTCAGTTTGTAGAACCTTGTAAACCCTCAAACGACAAAATTTATAATCTGATCTGTATGGAACTGTCTTGTAAAGGCCCCCAATTACGTACAAAGGAATAAATATGCGACAACCCTTGACGACCGCTCGGACGATTTAGCTGCTGTGGGCAACAGGTTTAGCCGAAGGCCGAGGGGTTAAACCTGTTAACGAATAAAGCGTGCTATAAATGACTTGTAACATTGACAACTTTCCAACATGCTTATTGTTATTGCACAGAAAACCCACCCCACTTCTCTATATGATTTCTACTAAAATTATTCAGATAAGTTATATTTATAGCACGGCTTTCATGAGTTAACAGGTTTAACCAGAGGCCGAAGGCCGAGAGGTTAAACCTGTTAACGAATGAAGCGTGCTATAAATGACTTGTAACATTGACAACTGCTCAACATGCTTATTGTTATTGTACAGAAAACCCACCCCACTTCTCTATATGATTTCTAATAAAGTGTGCGATAACACTGAACATGTCTAGTTATTGCACGGTTAAGCTCCACCCAATCTACTAGAGGGAAAACAATCTGCTTATTCAACGAAAAGAACAAAGGAAGATTTCCCATCCATGTTACAAGTGTCTTTATAAGTGTCTCAAGGCCCGTTACTCTGCAGGTAAATTCTCAAATGATTGAAGTTCCACATTAATCCTTGATTTCTATTATTTCAGATAATATGACCTATGAAAATCACACAAAATGAGTACCATAAAATTTGGGATATAACTTTCAAGATAAAGGTAAATATGTCTATTCTAATTCTATTCCTGAAACGAACGTATAATGAAAAAGGCGAATACTAATTGCATTGAATATTTTATTAAAAAAATGTTTGGAACAAATCATATGTCACACAGCCGGTAGCAAATCAAATGTGTATCAAAAGAAAAGCCGTAAAAATTAACAACTATGAGATTTCTATTTTCCAATTTGGACGAATATTTTTGCTTTTTATAAAAAAAGAACAGTTGCTGTAACACTATCTTAGTGAAAACAAAGATCAGTTTCGTAAATATAGGATTTATATACATAGGAACAAAATATAACACAACTACTTCATTACTATAGAAACTAGACTATACTGGAGCTAGACTACATCGAGGACTAGACTATGGCAGGAACACATAGAACAATATTAAATCCACCATTCCGCCCTCTGCCAAGGTAGCGGCTGAACTCGGGTAAGTCCATGCACTCGTCCAAGCCTCTCTTCTCCGCCCGTCTGTGGTCCTCTTTAGTCGATTGCCTAACTGCGAGTAAACTCCTCAATATATGCCCTCGGACGATAGATAAGACACATTGTCATACATGCAATTGTCTCTTTTATCTCGGTCACGGCATGCTTACTGACCAGTGCATATTCCTTTGGAGTAAAGCGGAACGTGTGCACAGATCATATGTAGCTTGTAAAGGACACATTGAACTAATTACATGTTTAATTACAACACAGACAATCGTGACTTAAGAACAGTGCATACAGAGTTAAAAGGTCAATATTATATACATTATCAAGAAGCATGGATGGAGGTCAATAAGTTCAATTTGATAAAAGTTATAGATCACTTTGTTACATTGCTTCAAATTATTAATTTGTTTCGCCTATTGGATGAACCACCAATCATCATTTCGTGTGATTGTATTTATTTTCAAAACAAGTTTCCTGTCATGAAGACGTTTTAGTAAAGTGTTTTTCATATCGATAGCTCGGTAATAGCTCTCACATTGCTTGTCAAAATGAACAATGATGTTGGCCAATATTGACGTTATCTGTAACAATCCGGAAGGTGACATGTAACATCGACCTCCCCAGGTGGTTGTCTAATGGATGAACAATATGGTAGGATATCAGACAGCTTTTCATGTTGTAATCTCCTAATAACTTGCTCCAAGGGCGATATAACGGATCATCATTAGAATACTGCCTAAACTTAAATCACGGGAAACTAATCGAACACAGCAGTACGATCAAATTCCCTGGTACTACTAGCAGACACTGGTTAAGCCAAGGGATATTACGGCGCTCAAGTTCGTTTGAACATGCCAAAATGGCTATCAGCCAAACGTGGAAACAATCGCGATTGGTTCTCGTATCATTTGATTTATCGATTTTTGTTTAATTTTTGAGTAAATATGAGTTAAAATGTTATTTTCCATATATATACCTCTTGTTATAGTGTATCATTGCGCCGTTGTTGTATGGTAATACTAATAAAGGTATATTCGCAATATCAGATGGAATTCTATTCAATCGCTGATTAAAGTACCGATAACACCCGTTTACATTAGCCACGTTGGCATCCGCCACCAACACATGTACTAATGGAAAAGGTCATGCCAGTGTGTTATATATGTTTTCCTTTTTCTCCATATATTCATTAATTTATGTTCAGGTGATTACGATGTTAACCTTTCAATATATTACATTTGATCGAAAACATATTCTTTATCTGAGACATGTTAATTTGTTCCTTCACAAAACATTTCATGTAGCTGGCGACCTTAGTCATCAGCAACAATAGCGTTTCTTTACTCATAAAAAATTGACAATATTATTATAGACAATTAAAATTTTGACTAAAACGGTCGTATAATAATCACCAATAAGAATATTTTTTTGTCAAAAGTATTGCAAAAAGTGACCGACAAGAAAAAGATATGTTAGAGATATACATATTCTACACATCATATACAAAAATTAAATGAAGTTTTAAAAAAATATGGATGATTGAAAGTTTGGCAAAAACGGTTCTACTAATCACCGTCAATAACCAACAAGGGCGACGTTTTTTGTAAATTAAAGTCTCTGACTATTGTGAAAGTTAAATCTCTAAAAGGAATATCAACCCTAAAATGTTTCGATTCAGTATTTAAAAACCATCCACTGCAGACGATATGTAAGAAATGATCTACACAAGCCAGCACCACCTATGACTTTCGCTGAAATCTTTTTATGGGTCTGTTTTTAGTCCGATTGAATCCAACGGTATGTTATTTGCAGTAAAACAACCCCAATTATCGAAATTTCACCTTCATATAACAGGAAAACGTATATCGGTTAAGCTGAAGGGTTAATACTAATCATACTTAATGAGCTTAATGTTTCCCGTGTTATGGCCGAACTCTTTAACAAAAACATCTATGCACTGGGTTTTTTTTCTCTTGTAGTACTAAAATGACTGAAACCATTTTATGCTTCATGTTATGCCTCGTTGTTTACAAAAAATATTTTTTCTAAAATTGGCCTAATTATGCCCATCTGTTTTGATACGATTTTCGTAATACTTTCCTGAACTTTTCTAAAAAAAATAAAATAAAGCGATGCTAGAAGCCCTAAACTATTCGGGAATTAATTGAAATTTTTGTGCTCCAAACTAAAAAACTGTAAGAAGCGCAAAGTGAGGGGCGTAAGAATTTATTATTAATAAATCACCAAAGAGATTTATTTCCTTAATTAGTGTCAAATGGCTCGTAGACACTCTATTTGGGTCATTTTGAGACTAACTTACCTTAGTGAAAGTTTGTTGGAGGAATAAGCAATAACCGACTATTCTAGAAAAAAAAGGCGCACACTGCTATGACGAAGAATTGACTCTTAATAGGTTCATTCATTGGGAAAGAATGTCGACGAAATGTGAATAGCGTGTGTGCATGGCATCGACATCGTCTTATTTTATGTATGTGTTGATTTATTTCAAAATAATTATGTTATCACTTGCATGCTGTAAAATGAAATGAAATGGGGTTTAACGTCCTACTGTTCTGCTCCGTACTGGGCTAATGAAGACGGCCATACGCCATACAATGTACTATGAGGGAAGTTTTGTCCGGGCAGCGGCACTACGGGCTACTCTTATATCGAATTCCAACTGCCAAGGGATCTTTTACGTGCACCCCAATGTGTACCCCTGTTTTTTCGTCCCATTTAAATGACTAGACAGTTGTCCTTGTCAAGCCCTCCGTCCTGCATCACGCCGGAAAATCTGGATGAAATTTCTCGACCAATGCAGGGATCCAGCCGCCGACCTCCAGACTAGCGAGCCAGCGTCTTACCCACTTAGCCACCGTGCCCCCCCCCCGCCAATATGTGCACGGGACATCGGTTTGTTCGTCCTATACGTTGTCCCTTACCAGGCCCTCTGTCCTGTACCACTGACAAGGGCGGGGCACGCCGCAAATTCTAATTAACTTTCACGGCCAATGCAGTGGTCGAACACGGGATCAAGTTAGTGAGCCAACGTCTTACTCACTGAGCTACCGTGGCTTCCAACGGGGTAATGATGACGACGGACCTGTCACGTGTACTATATGGAATATTTTGTCCGGACAACGGTGTTTTCCCCTATTGTTCGTCGTATTCCAACCGTCAAGTATTGAATACTTTGTATTAGTTAATTTCGTTTGAATATCATCTGTGGCTAAGTGGGTAAGACGCTAGCTCGCTAGCCTGGAGGTCGGGTGTTCGATCCCTGCATTGGCCGAGAAAGTTCATCCAGATTTTCCGGCGTGGTTTCCTTCCCCTTGTCAGTGATGCAGGACGGAGGGCCTGGCAAGGACAGCTGTTTAGTCGTTCGGATGGTACGAAAAACCGAGGTCCCGTGTACATATTGGCGTGCACGTAAAAGATCCCTTGGCAGTTGGAATTCGATATAAGAGTAGGCCGTAGCGCCGCTGCCCGGACAGAATTTCCCTCATAGCACACTGTATGGCGTATGCCCGTCTTCATTAGCCCAGTTTAGGAGCAGAACAGTAGGACGTTAAACTCCATTTCATTTCATTTTGAATATCATTCATTAGTATCATGATCTTATAAGGCATATGTATTTTGTACGTAGACTCAATACCACATTTCGTTGTATTAACCTATTGTCTGGTTTATTCTTAGGGGAAAATGTCTTTTGAATATCGTCCTACATTTCGTTTTATTGATCTTTTGTCTGGTTAATCCTTAGGAAAAACGGACCCTTTGAATAGAACTATAACACAGCAAGCATAACATAATGACAATTTTGGGATCAGGAATACACAAACGCATCCCGCCTTGTTGTTGTTCTTAGGACGACGTTCTTCGCCAACTCTGGTATGCTTGAAATGAAACTTGGCATGTTTGTTCCTGGTCCATATGTACGCTCGTAATTGTTACCTTTCAAATGACAGACCTAACAAACACCGTCTGCGTAAAGAGTGTTAGATAAAAGTTTATATCGTAACACTGACACAGACATCTGCTTTAATAATTCAATTCAATGATTGGAAATCGATGTTATGCAAGAATCAGAAACATCTTTTCACCAAGTTCAACGAGAGCTAGACTGGAAATCTTTATAAAACTGTTTACAAAGCTGTAATCGTGATTAAAGCACTCAATGATTTATGCTCTTTTATGAATGCTGTTTAGGATACATGCCATTCCAGTTTTCAGTTACATATCAGGACTAACCTTAATGTTTGCGTTTGTATCAACACACTGCCAACACAATTAATGTGATGTGAACTGGAATTCTGTAGAACTCCCATTTATTTTAATCGCCTACTTAAAAGCTGGCCATAGAATAATATATTAACATAACCGCATTTGCCAATTTGGACACAGTTACCTGATTGGGGTAAGTAATTTTAACCGAAAGTGATGAGTCGTGGAGGTATGTAGACTCGAAATAGCTAGTATCACATTTTCTTTTAGTGATACTTACTTATACAGCTTCGATTTAATTTTGTCAATGACCCAGTCGACTTGACTGAA